CACTCTGTGTCTGGTGTCAACTCCTTACGCCAACATAATTAGAGTGAACTTAACATTGGAGAGGGCATGTGGGACTGCGTTTTTCGTCACCGATACAGTTAGTCTGTTATCGTCCAGAGGCCTCAGGAATATTTGCCAGAGCCAGGTGACAGGACAGAGAGGTCAAGGGAGAATTAAGGTCATATGGAGGGGGGAAGGAAATATGGTTCTGCACACAACAGCCCACAAAGGGCCACCCGCTGGGTGGCAACCATTCATCACCCGTCCTCACCCCTTTCAAAGATGGTGCTGCCATGCTGGTCAAGTATGGACACCTAGGGCTTGACGCCATGATCTGTGTAGCAGATCGAGGGGCAATATTTCCACAGTTAATGGTCATTGTCGTCACCCAAAGCCGCACCCCCGCTCCCCGTCCCAGGAAAACAAAGGGTGTGTTCCTCTCCCCAGGAGTGAGAGGGTCAAAGGTGATGGGTGTTTCCTCCTACAAGCTCTGCCCCCCTGCCCAGCCTGTCCCCAATGGCTGGGCATCCATTAGCCTGTAGGTGGTGGCCGTTTCCCAGAATTCCACAGTCACCCCTGAGCACATGAGGTGGGTTTGGTTTTTGTTCTGAGCTCCTGGAGGACATTTCATAAATCAGTTCTCTTAGGAAAGCAAATGGTTTAAAGAGAACCCAAGGTTATTCATTCACTCCCTCAGCTGGATCTAAATTCCCTTACCTCGTCTCACTGGATGATCAATATTTTTGTTGTTGTAATCCTCACCTGAGGATATTTTTTCATTAGCTTTTTTTAGAGAGATTAGAAGGGAGGAGGAGGAGGAGAGACAGAGGGAGACATCGATGTGAGAGAGACACGTCAATTGGTTGTCTCCCGCATGGCCCCGATCAGGGCTGGGGATTGAGCCTGCAATTGAGGTACAACCTTTGACCAGAATCGAACCCTAGACCTTTCAGTTCGAGAGCCAATGCTCTATCCACTGAGCCAAACAGGCTAGGGCTGGATGATCAATTTTTAAAAACATTGACCCAAGCGATAACACACTAGCACTGGGGAGAGCACGGGAGACAGATACGTTAGGAAATGACAGTTTAGCGTGGTGAGCACCGTGATCAGCAAACACATGGGGCTATGGGGCCCTGGGAAGGCAGCGGAGAAGAGAGAAGAGAAGAGAGAGGAGAGAGAGAGAGAGAGAGAGAGAGAGAGAGAGAGAGAGGGAGGTGGGGGGTTGTTGAAGAGGTGGCATCTGCGGACCTGCCACTGTGGCTTTGCCACTTAAGAACAGACTTGGCCCCAGTCACCTTGGCATCTGCCCTATGCCTAGCACAGAGCCTCGCACTTGGTGGTTGTGCAGTGACCATGGCCCTGGGCTACCACCCACTCAGGCATCTCAGATGACCCCTCACTATCCCAGCCATGGGTTTTGCCTTTCTCTGACTTGCTCACTCCCTAAGCCCTAGGTTAATGCATGTATGCGTGTTTAACTTTGACTTGACGATTTTGTAGAACCCAAATCAAGACCATCTTCCCGGTTCCCACCGCGTCTTGGAAAAGGAGCTTTTCCACTCGGGGTCTGAGCGGAGCCTGGCACGCCGGGCCCTTCTGGGCACCATTGCCCGGAGACTCCTCAGCCCAGGTCCTCCTTGTCAGCACCTGCTGAAGGTTCAGTTCAGGCCAGGGGCAGATGGCAGGGCTTGAGGGGCAGGTGCCCACTGTCCTCCACGGTCAGTGACAGGGCTGCACTCTCAGCTTGTGGGTCTGCGCCTGCTCACGCCCTCGCCTGTGTGGGTCTGCACCTGCTCATAGGTGTTTTTTGTTAGTTAGTTAGTTAGTTAGTTAGTTAGTTAGTTTGTTTGTTTGTTTTGTGGGGGGCAGTAGTTTCCAGGAAAGGTGTACAAGCATCAATGAAAATCATTAAGTCAGAAAGAGGAAAAAACACCTACTTTAAGTATTAGCTACATTTTGAATGACAGCCTTTTTAAAAATATACCCAACAAAAGAAAAGTTAGACAATGTTCTTAAAAGCCACTTGTTATGAATACCTAATGTATCGAGCTGCATCCCGTGCATTCTCCAACGTCCGGGCTGGGGGCGGAAGCTGCGTCCCTTGGATGTTGATCTTCCTTGACCTCTGCTTTCATTGTGTCACCCTTCTGTTCAAGAGCTTGAGCTCATGCCTAAACCCCATGACAGCCAGTCCAAAGTCTTAACCACCCCCCCCGCACTCCTTACAGCGAGGCTCTACCCCAGCTCAGCCTCCAGCTCTCCCCCGACTGGGGCGCTGCTGCTGCCATCAGCCACGCTCCCGCCTGCCTCCCTGATCTGGCTATGCTCCCCCACCGGGAACGTCGGTCTCTTTCCTCCATGAACAGTCGTCACCCACCTCGCCCTTGAAAGTTCAATTCGTGTTTGCTTTCCTCCTGGGACTATCTCGGATCCTCTTAACCCTCGGCTCCTCCTCAATCCGGAGGCCCCACCAGGATGCACGTAGGTGCTCCCGGCCTCTGTACTCCGTGTGCCTGTTCTCTGTCGGAGCTGTGGACGGCACTAGAGGATAGCAGGAAGCCTGGGACCCCGGCTGCCCAGGGAGGCTGACTCCTAGGCACTGCAGGATTTGGAACTGAGCCTCAGCTCGGTAACCTATTTCCTGTGTGACCTTGGGCACAGGTGTCCTGTGTCAGGACCTGTTCCTCCAGCCACCCAGCTGGCCTGGAGCAGGTGTCCCTGTGTAAGGCCTGTTCCCCCAGCCGCCCAGCTGGCCTGGAGCAGGTGTCCCTGTGTAAGGCCTGTTCCCCCAGCCGCCCAGCTGGCCTGGAGCAGGTGTCCCTGTGGGAGGCCTTGTTTCCCCAGCCGCCCAGCTGGCCTGGAGCAGGTGACCCTGTGTAAGACCTGTTTGCCCAGCTCCCCAGCTGGCCTGGAGCAGGTGACCCTGTGTAAGGCCTGTTCCCCCAGCCGCCCAGCTGGCCTGGAGCAGGTGTCCCTGTGTAAGGCCTGTTCCCCCAGCCGCCCAGCTGGCCTGGAGCAGGTGACCCTGTGTAAGGCCTGTTCCCCCAGCCGCCCAGTTGGCCTGGAGCAGGTGTCCCCATCGGAGGACCTGTTTCCCCAGCTGCCCATCTGACCTTGGGAACAGGTGTCCCTGTGTAAGACCTGTTCCCCCAGCCGCCCAGCTGGCCTGGAGCAGGTGACCCTGTGTAAGACCTGTTTGCCCAGCTCCCCAGCTGGCCTGGAGCAGGTGTCCCCATTCGAGGACCTGTTTCCCCAGCCGCCCAGTGGATGAGCAGGGCTCTCACACTTCCTCGCCTTCCCCACCCCTCCCTGACTTTCTCAGATTCCTTGGGGCTCACATTGTCACTCATTGATTAGACCCTTTCCATCCTCTTTTCCGGCCCTAGATCTGCAGCTCTGAGTATTTTGGTTCGTTGCCAAAGGCCAGCAAGCTTTGCCCTCAGAGAAAAGCATGCATCCCTGCTGATAGCAGCTCCAGAAGCTAAACGCCTGGCCGCCACCTCCCCGCCCTGCTGGAGCTCTCTGGGTGCCCCTGGCACAGCCCACAGTCCCGGCCTCTCTACCATCGCAGACCTCCTGGCAGATTGCAGCAGCCTGTTAGTCAATGTATTATTCATGTGGCCCATTTCCCCCGCCAAGGGCAGCCCACAAGGCACACTCGATCCTGCACCAGGAAACCAGGCACCTCCCCGATGTGTGTGCGCTCGACCTCCGGCCGCACCTACCTTGCCGAGCCTTTCGCTTTCCTGGGGCGCCTCACTGGGCCAGGAACAATGGGGCCTCGGAATAATAGGACAGTCCCCGCAGGGCCAAGGCCGCTCTCCAGGCAGGGGCGTGGGTGACACAGCACACAGGATGGTTGGCAGCAGCTGCCCAGCTGTGCCTGGCAGGCTGGAGCCAGGGCCTCACACAGTTACGTCTTAGAGCGAGCAACGTGTCATGGCAACTCTCTGGACGGCCACCTCCTCACCTGTAAATATAAGCGTGCCAGCTCCGTCCGGCAGCCTCACGGGGCGTGGCAAGGATCAATGGGGACAGTGCAGCCTGACCGGCATGGCCTCCTGCTCCCCCGACACTGGGCACCGTGATCTCCTGCTTCAGTGGGGGGTGCAGGAGGCCGCCCGTCAATGAGTCTCTCTCATCGTTGATGTTTCTCTCTCTCCCTCCCTCTCCCTTCCTCTCTGAAATCAATTTTAAAAAATAATTTTTAAAAAAAGAGAAATAGCCCTGGCTGGTTTGGCTCAGTGGATAGAGCATCGGCCTGCGGACTGAAGGGTCCTGGGTTCGATTTCGGTCAAGGGCACGTACCTGGTTGCAGGCCCCCGGCCCTGGTTGGGGGCACTCGGGAGGCAACCAATCGATGTGTCTCTCTCACATCAGTGTTTCTCTCTGTCTCTCCCTCTCCCTTCTACTCTCTCTACAAATCGATGGAAACATATCCTCAGGTGAGGATTACAGAATAAAAAAGAGGCATGGTGCGCGTAGGAGCTCATTGGAGGACACGCTGCTCTGGCTACTCAAAGTGTGGTCCGTGGGCCGCAGTGTCAGCATCACCTGGGAGCTTGTGGCATGCAGGGCCCCAGCCCCTCCCCGACCTGCTCATCAGGGCGCTGTGTTTCTCTGTGTGGGTTTTCACTGAGACCCCCAGGCGGCTTGTGTAGGAAACACGGTGATATGCAAACACACCTGTGCTCTGGCGGGAGGAACGTGCAGTGTGGAGCCTGGAGCTTTTAGTTCAAACTCAACTCTGCCCCTGACCGCCTTCGTGGCCTTGGAAAAGTTCTGGAGCCTCGGCTCCTCTGCTGGAAAACACTGTCACACGCTGTCACACAAGACTGGCCGGTGGCTCCGTGGTTAGAAAGATTGAGGGTTGGATTCCGGTCAAGGACATGTACCTCGGTTAGACTGGATCCCTGGTCCTGGTTGGGGCGCATGTGGGAGGCAACCAATCAATGTGTCTCTCTCACATCAATGTTTCTCTCTCTGTGTCTCTCCCCCTCCCTTCCACTCTTTAAAAATCAATGGGGGGAAATGTGGGATGAAGAAGAAGAGAACACAGGTCAGAGTGCCCAGGGCCCTGGTGGGGCAAAGGGGAAGTAAGGGGCGGGGAGGGACTCTGTAGCCCACGGAGAAGACAAATGAGGGAGATGAGCAGGAGCAGAGCAGAGCGTCCTCCCCCTGCCTGTGTCACCTCCATGCCATCTCTTCCCAGTCCCCACGGCCACTTGACATGGATGCTCAAGGGAGCTGTTGACCAAAGGCAGCTGAGAGTGGACGGCTCCCGCCTGGTATCAGACAGCCGAAGGCAACAGCCACTGCAGATGGAAGTTAAAGGCCCGGGGCCCCAAGAGACCCCCATTTCCCTGGGCTGGAGGGTCTGCAGGCTGCCCCCTAGCCACCGAGCCTCCCATGTGCGGCACCTGGAGGCCCAGGACTGAGGGCAGCAGGTGAATGGTGGGGAGGGAGGAACCATGAGCAGCTGATTTTTTTTCCAAGCAAACTTTTTTTAAAATATATTTTTATTGATTTCAGAGAGGAAGGGAGAGGGAGAGAGAGAGAGAAGCATCCATGATGACAGAGAATCATTGATCGGCTGCCTCCTGCAGGTCCCACACTGCAGATGGAGCTCGAAACCTGGGCATGTGCCCTGAACTAGAACCGAACCGTGACCTCCTGGTTCATAGGTCGACGCTCAGCCCCTGAGCCATGCCAGCCGGGCCTATTGAACAAACCTGATACAACTTGAAGCTGTGTACACTTGAGCTGTGTTTCAAAGTTTCCAGCAATGCTGGGAAACGGACTGCGTCGGGCTCGCCAGGATCCCGTCCAAGTAATTACCCGGCAGGGGGAGTGTCCTGGCACAGACGCGAGTGCCGCGTTTCAGGGGTTAAAGACACCCGCTTTCAGGGCTGTGGCGAGCGAGCTGCCAGACGGCGCTGCCCTTGGCACGGCTCCTTATGAGGTCTCGCAGCTGAACTGGAAGCTTCACTGAGGCCCAGGGGCTCTGCGGGGCCTCAGCCCTGGCAGCTGCGTTTTAAGGGCTCTGCTAGTCCATGTGTCGAGCCCACCGACGGAGCCCCGGGCCCTGATCCGCCAAGTCCCGACTCCTGGCTGCTGGAGCTTTGGTGGTGTTGTTTGTTTGTTTTCAGAAAAAGCTCACCTATTTTTTTTCAAGGACACACGTCGTGTGGCCCTGTGTGCTTTCTGCCCTCAAAACAGAGCCTTTGCCAAAACCGGTTTGGCTCAGTGGATAGAGCGTCCGCCTGCGGACTGAAAGGTCCCAGGTTCGATTCCGGTCAAGGGCATGTACCTGGGTTGCAGGTATATCTCCAGTGGGAGGTGTGCAGGAGGCGGCTGGTCGATGTTTCTCTCTCATCGATGTTTCTGGCTCTCTGTCTCTCTCCCTTCCTCTCAGTAAAGGGGACATAAAATATATTTAAAAAAAAACAAAAAAACAAAAAAAAAACAGAGCCTTTGAGGAAATCAAGTTAAGGACTGGGAACAGAGACAGTAGTTTTATATTTTTTAATATATTTTTTATTGATTTCAGAGAGGAAGGGAGAGGGAGTGAGAGATAGAAACATCAATGATGAGAGAGGATCATTGATGGGCTGCCTCCTGCACGCCCCACACTGGGGAGCCCACAACTCGGGGAATATGCCCCGACTGGGAATTGTACTGTGACCTCCTGGTTCATAGGTCGATGCTCCACCACTGAGCCATGCCAGCCGGGTTCACAGACAGTAGTTGTAGATGCCCCTGAGTGCACCTTCCAAACCTGGGCGATGGACAGGTCAGCATGTGGGTCAACTGGACAGGTACTTCTGAGCACTGCCCGGTGCGGGGGATTGAATGACGACCCCCAGTTCTTCACCCCTTCCGTATTCACACCCTTGCCACGGCCTCATCTTGGGCAGGGAAATTCCCACTTCTTGATTTGGAGCTTGACCATGCGCTTGCTTTGGCCAGTGAGATGGAATGCCAAGTCCCAAGCCTAGGCCTTCAGACCTTCCCGTGGCAGCTGCTGTGCCACCACTCTGCCACAGGAGGGCGCGCACAAGCAGGAATCGAGCTCTCCCAAAATCCGGCCCCTAATTCCTCCAGACCCAGCAGGGTAGCAGCAGGTGTTCGAACAGGGTGGCACCCGGGTCTCCCGTGCTTGGCCTGCTGCCCAGAGCTGAATTAATTTATTTAATACTTTAATTTAGTTTGTTTTTTCAGGTTTTCCATTTCTTTTGGGGTCAATCTGTTAATTTCTCAACGAATGTCCATTTTCTTTATATTGTCAAATAGAGGCATAGAGTTGTTTACAATTTTCCCTTAGTCTCCTTTAAATGTGATAAAGTACTCTTGTTCTTGATGATGCTATTTTTGTTTTCTCTCACCTTTTTATTTCATCAAGGAAAACGCTGGCCAGGGTCTTGACGTGTTATCCAAATGAAAGTTGAGGTTGCTCATTCTTTTCTATTGTGTGTGTTTTCTATTTCGTTGATTTCTGCCCTTATCTTTATTTCTTTTCCTCCACGTACTTTGGATTTAATTTGCTCTTCTTGATTTGGAAACATAATTCATTTTAAATCTTTCTTTTCTTCTAATACAAACATTTAAAGCTACACAAAAAAATATTTCTATGTGCTGATTTGGTCACATCCTACACATTTTGGTGTTTTATCTTTATTCATTCAAAATAAGTTCTAATTTCACTTGTGATTTTTTTTACCTATATATCTTTTTTTAATTTTTCATCATTTTTTTTAACTGTAAGAGAACATTTATTGGGTAAATTACAGAAGTAGAAAAAGTAATTCCTAGAAGAAATGGGATTAGGAAACAGGTTCTAGAGGCCAAGGAAGGGCACTTGGAGCTTGGGAGTGAGGAAGCTGATGGTATGTTGCCTGGGGTCAGAGAGGGAGGAGGGGTGGGGGAGGGGAAGGGAAGGGAAGGGAAGGGAAGGGAAGGGAAGGGAAGGGAAGGGAAGAGAAGGGAAGGGAAGGGAAAGACACAGGCGTGCTCCCAGGAGGGAAAGCGCCTAAATCTACATCTTTTTAAAGATATGTTTTTCTTAATTTCAGAGAGAGGAAAGGAGAGGGAGAGGGAGATAGAAACATCGATGGAAGATAAACATCTATCGGCTGCCTCCTGCACACTCCCCTCCTAGGGATCCAACCCTGTGACCTACTGGTGCGTGGGATGATGCTCCGCCCACTGAGCCACACTGGCTGGGCTCAGTTGTGATTTTTTAATTTGCCCCATGGATTATTGAGAAGTATGATCCTCAATTCTCATCTATCTGAGGATTTCTATATGTTTATTGTTATTGATTACTCATTGAAAAGCTCTGTGGTCAGATGATGTACTCTGTATATGTTTGAACTTCTGAAATTTATGAGACTTATTTTATGACCCAGTATGTGGTCTATCTTGGTGAGTGGTCTATATGCTTTATACAGTCTGACAATCTCTGTTTTATTAGTGTGGCTTTTTAAAAAATATATTTTTTCATTGATTTCAGAGAGGAAGGGAGAGGGAGAGAGAGATAGAAACATCAATCATGAGAGAGAATCACTGATTGGTTGCCTCCTGCACACACACTGGGAATCGAGCCCGCAACCTGGGCACGTGCCCTGACCAAAAATTATACTGTGACCTCCTGGTTCATAGGTTGACACTCAACCTCTGTTTTTTGCATAAAGTATTTAATTCATTGATATTTAAATAATTATCAATATGGTTGGATTTAAGACTATTACCTTGATTTAGTTTTTCATTTGTCCCATATGTTCTTTGTTCCTCCACTCATCCTTCCTGCCTTATTTTGAGTGAATTGAGTATCATTTAGTATGCCATTTAATCATTCAATTAACCTTTTAGCAAAACCGTTTTGTGTTGTTTCTAGTGTTTTTTCTAGCAATTGGAACATGAAATTTTAAGTTATCACATTCCATTTTTAACTAATCAGAAACTTA